AAATCAATTTCCAAATCTAGTTAGGTTCAAGAGAGGCCATATAGAATCAATACAAAGAGAAAGGAGAATATTGCTGATAAAACAGGAAGCTTTTAAACAAATACTCTGAATCACATTCCCTCCTTTTCCCCTCTTTAACCCAGGAGCAGCGATTTAAAGGGATTTTCAAAACACCTAAGGAAACTGAACTGCCAGTACTGCTCAGACAAGAAGAATCATAATGAAACTTGGAGGAAAGTCCTTTTTAAAGAGAGTACTCTACACTGCTGGCAAAAATTAAGTGCAAACATTCCAATGTGGCAGATTTTTAAAGTTATTTTGTGGAAACCACAAATAGAAGGGTAAATATTTCACTCACATGTTAAGGAAAACATTTCAATTTCTCCATTATACTCACCCTCTTCCCCAACACTCCTCTAAAACCATACAGAATCTATCCCTTTTGCGTCAGGTCCAGTATTGTTAAAGCCTATCAAGGTTACCAAAATGCTTTTAGGCTATGAGGTTGCAACACTGGTATTTGGGGTTTCAGTTGCAGAACACATGCACAATCAAGGCAGCCAAGGGTCATGCCAGCCTCCAGTGATTTTAATAAGCATAGCCTAAAGGAGTCTGAAACAAGGCTTAGAAAACATCATTAAGGAGGCAGAAAAAGCAGTCAAGTGAAATCTCTGGAGATGAGATTTAGAGAAGGGTCTGAAAAAGGAAACTGGGAAACTGAGAAGAATGCAAAATTTGATCATTTAGAAAAGTCTTTTTTAAAGAGCTTTTAAGAAGCACCAAAGACCAGAGAACTCTTTTCTGAAATAAGGATGGGATAAGGTAACACATGTACCAGTCCTAAGTCCTTAGTTTTAAGGCATTAAGCTTCAAAAACCTGACAGTCAAGTATACTACTGTACTGCCTGAGCTTCAGACAACCGCTACAAGCAGGATCCAACACAGGAAGGCAGGAAGTAGTCGTAAATTCACAATGAAGGGGTTCTTCCTTCAGCCACCGGTAACAAAGATACAAAATTGTTTCCTGAAGCTTGAAACACGTGACTTACTTAAAATTCGTATTATATTTACCTGTGTAAGTAATAATTTTAACTGTGGAGAGTTGGAATATACAAGAACTTGAAACATAAATATTTCTGCCTCCATCTTCTACTTATTATACCTTATCTCATCTTCCTTTTATAGAGTCAATAATTCTTAGGGGGAAGGGAGTAGGGAGTCTGGCAGGATGATAGGTGGAGACAAGCCACACACAATCCTCTTAATGCTTTTTAAAATGACATAGCTCCCCAAACCCACCTCACCTGGAAAATCACTGCCTGCAATGAGATGTTACTGTTGGTAGTACCTGATGCGCATGTGAAACCAGACACAGGGAGACAAAATGAGTGCTAGAAAGAGGACCTTGGAAATGTAAGAGTTAAGGAGAGTTTTCCTTTTATTTTCTCTTATTAATAACTTATTTTCATAATTTTCCAAGTACTTTCATACCTATCTCATTTGAGTTAGAAAATACTCCCTTAACTTACTGGCAACTATCTACTTCATCATAAAATAGCACAGGCCAAAATACAGCTGTTAATTTGTGAGGTGAACCACTAAAACAGTAAGCTAAAACTTAATATAACAGAAATATTTTTACTTGAACAGAACTCAAAGTTCTTCTGGAACCTCTAAACCACTGTACAAATTTAAGAGGGCCTACTAGTAAATGCTTTGAAGACAAGGTACCATGTGTTTTCCCGTATCTTCCACAATTCCTTGAACAATATAGGTTCTTAGTGAACAGAATGAACTAGCTTATATTTAGTAACTTTAATTTACTCACTCAGTATTTGTTGAACACTGAAAACCTACTCTGTGTCAGGCTCTATGCTGGTTGAGACTTTAAAAACTGCATTGAACTTTAGCCTTTATAATATAAAAGATCAGACTAGGCAGGAGGCAATGAGGAATTCCACCAATCCTGTTTCTTTTCTCTTAGTTGTGGTTGTTAACTTGATTAACATATTTCTATAGTATATTTGAATTTTCAAATGATAGGCATATGTATAAATGCAAAGAAGGTTAAAATGATGTCTAAAATTAATTTTCTTTTTTATCTTGCCCTTGAAATCATTCCAACAGTCATGATACTGAGAATAAATGATATCATTTGACAACCACCTCAGTAACAGTGGCTGGACTAGAGCCCAAATGTCTCAGCAACAGTTTTCTTTAAGGAAGACCAAGCAGCTACTGACCCCTTATTCTGACTACTCAACTTTTGTTTACAGTTGTACTTATAGTCTTTCCTGCCTTCTTAAAGAATAAATCACACATTAAATTGTGATAGCAACAACATGGTGGTATTTGCATACCACACCAGGATCTATAAAGTGTTACCCAAACTGTACATGTATCACCTTTAGTCCTCAAAACTCATTTAACACATGTGAGCACTGGGGCTCAAAGCTGTGGATGCCCTGACTGGCCAAAGTGGCAAAGCTGGGATGGAGTCGGAACCTGGGTCTCCTGATTCCTGCAGTCCAGCACTCTCTAACACAGCTGCCTCCTTCCTATGCCAAGGCTCAGAAAGTGGTACAGACTGAGAACATGAAAATAATAAGTCCATGAAAGGTCTGGCTATGAAACACTAGACAGTGGTTATCGAAACCGTCAACACTGCCTCAGAAAAAAAAACAAATCTCTCTGTTTAATAAGACCAAAATTGGCCAGATGTTGAGAAACAAAACGGGCAATAGATGGTGTGAAAAACAATTCGGGATAGACTTAAATTTGATAATCAACAGATACTTGATAATCATGCATCTCCAAACATCCTAATTTGTAACTAGCCCACTCATTCTGTTTGCTTCAGAAATGGAAATTTTCTAAATCTTTTTAAAAACAGAATTGGGAAAAAATATATGGTCTTGTTCTTTAGTCCAATACTACACAATATAAACTAAGAAACAGATAAGTGAATTGAAACATTCATTTGCTATATGATGCTCCAACCAGGAAAGACAGGTAGAAATATATTTAGGTCTTTCATTAACATTTAACTTAAAGAATGCCAAACAGTAGAGCAAGTAGACTTAAGAGCTAAAGCACTGTTGAGTTTTTAGAAATATTTACAAATGAAACTCTGAATAAGGTACATATACTATTAATGTTTAGGGTAAGAAAATTCAAGTTCCAAAAGCCATAGTAAAATAGTATATCTTCATTAAACAATAACAATAAATTCATTTTTTCACATTGATTCGCACTGATTGGCTAGGAGGATGCAAAGTGAGCATCAAATACAAAAAGATGAAATACAGCAGAAAACATGTAAACAATAAGAGACTCTTAATTTTCTTGCTATGAATGGAGGTACATCATTTCATGTTAACTGTAAACAGCAGTTATTCAAATGCCACAGTTGTTCTAATTCTACCAACTGTGTTTAATACGATTTTTCTATTCTTATGTCACTGATAAAGTTAAGTTGTTCAAATCTTTGTCAATAGCCAAGGAAAAAAGCTTTCTTTTTGTTGAAGAATTTATAGTGTGTGTAACTTGAAGAGATCTTTCCACCGCCCACAAAATCTGCAGGAAAAATTGTTCGCTTTTACAGTTGTAGTTAGGTCAGGTTTATTGACTCAGCATGGATTTTGGTCTGTTTTACTTACTGCTGTACTCTTACAGGTTTGAATAGTGCCTCAGATATAGTATATTTATTGAATGAATGAATTATCCCTATGATCCTTAGATCTTGGGTATATAAGGATATAGCTAACTACTTTTCACATTAACTAACTTCTTAATTCTTTTAAACTTTAAGAAAACCCCCAATGTTTCCAAGCATTGGTCACCTGCTTGTGGAAAGCAATCATTCCACATGTGTAAACAAAAGCATACCCAAGGTGTACAGTTATGTTACAACTTAGGTGTCATCAGTTACCTCACTTATTTCTCTAAATCCCACAGCTAGAAGAGCTAAATTGTAAAATACCACGAGGACTCAAACCTATAACCACATGCTGAAAATTCTCCTTTGTAGACTACTTCTGCACTGAAATCTTCCTTTACCAAGGCAAATACCATTTAGAATTAACATTCTGAGGAGAACCAGAAAATTACAGCAGTATACAAATTTGACTGGGGAAAGCTACGATAGTTACTAAATTTCACAGTGAACCTGTTGTCCTCTCCTGCAGAACCAAATTCAATTTCCATTTAGAGAGACACTGCTTTTCTTCTGGATTGAAAAAATAAAAGAATTTGGAGGAAATCCCTTTTAAAAGGTTCAAAGAAACCTATCTGCTTGGAATTGTCAAAATGTTTGTGCGAAATTGATCATCAGCCCCTTCAGCGTCTGGAGCTGGGCCACAGGGCATGAATTGTGGGTACCAGCGTCAGCCCTGGGTGCCAAGTTTAAGATCCCATATGGGAAACACAAGACGAAAGAAGGCACAACATGGCCCCAGGCCAGTCCGCTGGCAGCTAAGGGGGACCGAGGGGTCACTGTCTGCTCCCAACTTCGTCAGCCCCCCGCCCCCATGCATATGGTCCATCAGCCTCCCGGCTCAGTCCGGCAAACTCCCAAGCCAGAGCGGAGCTCGGGGACTAGCCGCTGTGAGTCGGGGGTTCCGAGACCAGTCCTCTGGGCCCAGCCGCAGCGGCTGGGGGCCCGGAGAACGCGGAGTGGGGAGGGGGCTCGCCGCCCCTCCCCCCGGAGGGCCCAGGCGCTCCAACGGCGGCGCCGCACCTCTCTCTGCCCGCGCCCGCCGCGCCCTCTCCGCTCCGCCCGGCCGGCCCTTGCCACGCCCCGCGCCCCCGGGACGGACCCCCGGCGGGCCAGCCAGCGGCTCCCCGGGCAGCGCTCCTCAGAAGAGCCCCCAGCGCGGGCGCGCGGCCTAGTCGGGGTTACATAACGGGGCCGGGCCCCTCCAGAGCCGGCTGGGGACCATGGGG